AACCCAAAAGCCGGAATATGAAAACAGAATTTTTTTACAGATAAGAAAACTCAGTTCTAAGATTTCTTTTTAATTTATTTATTACATGACCAATTAAATTCGTTTTAACTATATTACCACATTATATATTAAAATTAGGACATATTGTAGTTATACTTGATATTTTTCAGGGCTACCAGCAATTTCAATTGCTTAAATAAAAATATAATGAATCACGAATGTGTTATATATACAAATTTTTATCGGAGTAAAGAAATGCGTTAAAATGCACTAATGTACAAGAAAACATGCATCTGACTAAGCATTTTAACATTTATCTCTTGTCGATGATCCAAGATTAAATTTATACTCTGAATTGTGAAGCGTTAATTTTTATTTATTATTTGAAGAGATATTTTAAAAATTTCATGCTTAAATAACTAATAATACAAAATGGTAAATGAAAAAGTTTCCTAAAATTATCTGTGTGTTTTTGTGTTTGGTTCTTATAGAAAATCTCTGAAAATATTCCAACTATGAATAGAAAGTGGAAAATAAGAAAATATTTGTTTTAACAAAATATGTAATTGGTGATATTGGATATTCCAATTTTTTTGAAAACACGGAAGAGAAGGAAAATGCAAAAAGAGCAAAAAGAAGATTACGACCAGCACAACCCTGACATGCAATGCAATAAAGCATATTGACTCAATCAAAATAATAGTCCAAGATGATTTGTTTCAGATAATTAGTAATATAATTTGACAATAATTTTTCTGGTTTTATACTAACATCTTTTCAAAGATATTATCAAATATATCTACGCATTTTCATATAGCACTTCGTTCTTATGTTGGTAACGTCATTAATTACGGTAGCAAAAAATTGCCCGTGTTCCGTATGGATGTGAATCCTGCTGGAACCGAATTAGCGTCATTTAGCTGGTGGTTTATAATGTCGGTATAATCTGTAATCCGTCTCGACATGTAGGTCGAACCAAATTGCTAACCGACCGTTATTAACAACCCTTATGACGAAATACATAGACAACGACAAATTCTACATGGTTGGCGTTTAAATATTAGCCGGGTTTTTAATACCGAATTTATATTGCGGATTGTCAAGAAATCGTTGTATAGTAAATTCGTATTGAAAGGTATTACCATAACTTTGTTATATGCATATATTTTTAATTCTGAAATTGCTGTTTCTATAATCATATTTCAGATAAATTATAATAAAAAATTACATAAAAATTCGTATCAACGTAAGTAATTATGTTAATGACAGTTCCAACGTTTCATACATATGTTTGAAAGAACTTACTTTTTTAATACTTTTGTTAGGAAAAATAATTTCATTTTTATTTTCTGTCTTATGTGCCCTTACAGATAACCTTTATTGTGTTTTTTATAAGCCTATATCAAAAAATGTAAGTCGCTTATTTTTTGCAGCGTTTTGGCATCTTTTGTGTGGTTTAGTCATGTAGAGAATCTGAGAAAAAATCGGAAAAATCTTCGCATGATTGTTTCACAAAATACGCGGAAAAACCAAAAAATGACGAATTGTTTTTACTAAAATATATCGTACACACTATGAAATTGGGGACTGACGGAACGCAATAAAATATGTAGTAATTATGTATTTTTGTGAAAATTACTATCAAATAATCAAGGCATTTTTTTTTACATTATATTTAATTACATTAAATTTTGATCTCCATTCCTAGAGATCATAGAAAAGATCTGGAACATGTGTCTAATATTTTTTGATCTAATATCTCTTTTTTTAATATTCAGAGTGGTTATCATTAGTCTATATCCTCCACCGATTAGTCAATTGTCTTGTTCTGATCCCTTTCTTATGGTAATATTTGCTTTCATTGTTATGTTTTTAACAAAGAGCAGAAAATTTTTTTTTTTTTGACAGTTAAGTTTTAACATTCTTTGTTTGTCAGTCATGCAAAGAATTTTCAAAAATATCTGCAAAATGATCGGTGTGATTTATAGCTAAATAAATTAATCAACATACCAAATTGTAAACTTTTAAAGATATTTAATTAATGTATTGTAATTCATTTCAATAATTATGCAACTGAAAATAATAAAGTGTATTAAATTAGTGTTCATTTTTAATTTTAAAATGTAATGTATATTTAGTTTTATTTAATTGACAAAAACGTTTAAAAATTGTATGATTTGTCTGTATTGATTATTTAAAGAGTTAATATTAGACATGAATTACTTGTAATCAGTAATGTTAACGATATTTTTATTAGTACGTTTTTTATCATAATAGTGGACAGAATTAATTTTTCGTTCATTGTCATATTTTAGTAAAAACAATATTTTTTATACCCCCCTACAGACAAATTTTTAAATAAGCCATTTCTATACGCATTAATATTGTTGATGATTATATTACAATCACCATACAAAAAAATCACCCTGCTAAAAGTTCAACTGGAGTCAAGATAAAACTCAAAATTTTCATTGTACATAATAATTCTCAAAAAAATTTCTGACGCACTATCTTAATCAATTTAAAAAGAACGTTAAAATGTATGTACGAATTGGCATACTTTGAATCTAAGACAAATCTAAATATACTGATTATATCTGGTATTTTCCAGCGTCTCACCGCCTACAACACTACCCAAACTGTTGCTTTGTCCAATTTTAAGTAGGTGTCTAGTGAGTTATATGCACCAATTTAAAACACCTTGACCTTTTTTATGTTGGAAATTCCGGCATTTTTCTTCTCATGTATCTCAATCCACAATGTACTGATTATAGATCCTGTACTAAAAGAGCACTCTTCGTTTTCAAGACTTGCAAGTGCATGTGGTCTTGATTTCGGGACGTGAACAAACTGTAGAAAAGTAATTGTTTGGCAACATCAATGGTGGTGCCAAAATTTCACTTTGATACATGGGTATGCTACTAGCCATTGTATTAAATAATTGTGGACCAAAAGTCCGTGTAGACATTTGTTTGAATATGTTTAATTTATTTATTTACAGGACCCGATGCTCTACAGTGATCTCACAATTTCTTAAATTTTCCGTTAGTTGTGAATGTGATGCCAGTATGTAAACACAGTTTTGATTTCCGACTCTTCATAATTTAAAGGTTTATTTTGAAGCAAACTAATTGCTCTCATACAGAAGAGCTAAACAATATTGATGTCGCGGACGAAGCTACATTACAATACAAGTTTTATTCTATTATCAATTAAAAAGTCATATATTCTGCCATGATTCGAACCCAGAGCGGTAGTAAATACGAGTCGGAAGCCCCAACCACATGTTAGAGGTCCCGCTTTCTTTATGATAGTTATATAAACAAGAAGTTTTAATATATTCAAAATCTGTTTTTAATTATTTAACGTGAATGAGTACGAATTGACAATAAAAAATCATGCCTTTTCACTGCAGAATAATATGTGTACATTTTCTGTTTTAAAATAATAAAAATGATTATTTGGAGATCGTGAGATACGGTCTTGTGTGACATAGGTTCACAAAAAACTTTCCTTATCGTGCCCACTTTTCCATCTTTATCGAGATCATCTTCAGGGCATGGGATTTATAAACATTGTTTAAATTACATAAATACATGTAGGATGTTAAAAAAATGAATTTATACAACGCTAGACATTTTTGACTCAATCAAAGTATTTGTACTACAGAAAACAAACACTTTGAGTGAGTACAAATACTTTGAGTCTAAAATTCTAGCATTGTATAAATTCATTTTTTCACTTATTTCATATATTTGTAAAATTTTAATCCCAGGCCTTGAAGATTATCTCAATAAAGATCGACACGTTGGCACGATAAAGATGATGTGTTTCTAAACCTACGTCACACCAGACCGCATCTCACGATCTCAAAATAATCATTAACTATCGGTCACTAAACACCATACAAATAATAAAAATATTGTATTATTTAAAATGTTACTAGTTGAAAATTAAAATACATCTTTAAATTCTACTTTTTCTATGCGTTTTGCAATCAATAAAATATTTGGCAACAATATGGGGTGAAACGCTTAATATTTTTGGAAATATTTTAAAATATCGATCCTTGCTGTGTTTTATAATGTACAATTATTTTAATAATTACATCAGTAATTTTTTTAAATTTTTTTCCGAACGTTAAAAAATCATAATCTTTTTATAGACTAACAACACCTATTGACTTTATTAGAAAAATGTTTTAAAAATTGTATTGTGATCAAAGCCTTCGAAAATTATTTTCATGTTAAAAATACAAAAATAATTGCAAGAAAAATATTTATTTTCATATTATGTTATATAAATATTTTTGAACTCTCAATAGGTGTATTTTTGACTTGATGATTTGGGACTAAATGGCATAAACCAAATAAATAGGAACAAGAAGAAATTTACTGTTTTCTTAACTGTTACACAATTATTTGTGAATGGACAACGTGGTTCCATACCCTTTGTTCATAGCATTTTATGCTTACAAAAACACAACCATTAATTGAAGGAAAAAACATTTTCTGAGCCACAATCAAAAAATTTTTTTCAAGGCTTATCCGTCTTAATAAATTTCTAATAAACTTCTGATTTTATAATGTAATATTTGCACGTATGCTTGCTAAAATAGAACTTTGAAAAAAATGTGATAATAATAATTAAAGAATCAAATACTACGAGTATATTTTATGCTAATATTTTTATAATTTAGTCTGAGAGCAGAGTTTTGATTTAAACCATATTTTGGAGTAATATCTTGTACTGGCTTATGTTGGCTTATCCTCTATTTTGTATACCTGAAAGAAAAAGTTCGCTGACGTTATAAGTTCTTGCGTGTAATTTTCAGAATGAAATAACAGTTATTAAATTATCTTTAGTTAAAGTATAAATTTCCCCTATGAATACTAAAACGAAAAGCTTTGGTTTTAATTGTATTTTCATTTACCCTGGTTTTTCTAAAACTTTAAATACACAAATTAAAATATGCTAAGGATTTCTTTTTAAATTGTTACCGTTGGACATGATGGCAGAGAAGAGGAAAAGGGTGAAGACCAGAATTCGGTAGGAAGAGCCCTTGGTCTTGGACATTTGGCGGTGACATACAGGGAAAATTACGATCAAGCTAAACCGAAGAGATAGCGGTAGTGACTGGTCGGGCACTCGTTGGCTACTGGGTCCCTTCGGCGTCCCCACCAACGCCGCCCCCATACGGCTCACCCCCGCTGCCGACGGATCCAGCATGGAAAATTATGAATATTTCCACAATAGCACGGTTTCAATGCTGGTAAACACGCTTCTCTGTTTTTAGCTTCTGTCATAAAAACGTACAAACAATAGATGATATGGTATCAATTTTATGGTCTTACTGTCTTGTATAGAGCAGTTATGTAATTGCAATTATTATTATGACAAAAATGTATAAATTGCTTTTAATTCACTAATTGCTTTGAAAAGGAAACTTTCTCTCTTTGATTAATGAACTATCGTGAGACAAACCCTGGGCCCGGGAAAAAATGAAAAAGAACGAAAGGATTATTCTCACACGATTGAGGATAGGCCACACTCGACATACCTACGGTCATGTCCTCATTGGAAAGGGTTCCAAAAAATGCCCTCTTTGCTGTGCAGTTGTAACAGCGAAACTTTTTTTTAACATTTGCTTCTTTTGCAATTTACTCAGAACCAATCCCTTTGTTTCCCTTTCTGATAAAATTTTTAAGTCCGTTTCCGTTAGAAAATCCATAACAGCATTGCACCATTCCAAATCATTTAATGTCAGTAGGGATTTGTAATGAAACGGGTTGATCAGCTTTCCAATTCTGTGCAGCCTGTCAAACATCTTTGTTTCTTCATTATTATACTTTTCGCATTTCATTATTAGATGTTCCAGGTCTTCCCTCTCTTCGCATCCTAAACATAGGACACTATTTTCTTCAAATATGTTCCACTTATTCCGTGGATAGACCTGATTCTGTTTATTCTAGTGCACTCTTTCTTAGACATTGGAAAGTTAAGGAACCTCGGCCTCCTGCTGACTGTCGGGTTTTTAACCGGTAAAATTTACCAGTGGAGAAGGAGTCTAGTTGCTTGTTCCACGTGCCATATACTTCCATTTCCAAACTGTCTTTGACCTCCTCGACTGGGATAGGAGATTCTAAATTTTGCCCTTTTTCACGGTTTGCCTTGCCAAGCAAGCTCATTTCCATGGCCCCGTATCCAATAGAAAGTGCATTCGACTTGCCATTCTATCGGCCTATGGCTGGGTTCCGTAATTCTGGACACCATATAGGAGCAACCTCAGTAAGCTGAAATGTTTAATGCTCTCTATTGAACTCCTTGAATCCGTCCGTGAAATACGTTCCTGAAGAATGCGAACGATTAGCGCCGCACAGAGTTTGGTGCGACTACCTGAAGATGTGTCAAGAATTCTGAGCCATCAATGCGACTATAAAGATTATCTCATTGCATATTTAAAATCAGTAAATGCATAAGGGCGTATATAAACAATCACACGTTATATTCCCCACTCTTATTATGTATGAATTTATTTATTAGCGCGAATGATGAAGTATGCGTGGGTGAAGCTGTGAAGGAATATTGAGTACCCACAGCCAACCGAATTAGATTTAGTTAATTTAANATATATATGAGATATGACGGAAGGGCTGGTTGGCATCCGTTGAACCCGTCCAGTGTGAAAGTATTTATTACCGTGGGTGGTTGTGAGTGAATGGGTCTGCTGAAAAATATCGAATACTCCGCGGACTTGTCAAAAACTTAGGTTAGTTAGGTTAAGGAATAAGTGGTGTGTGATAGGGTGGCGAAACGCTGTACAATAAAAATGCACGGTGTCTTGCCAATTTTACTTGTAATTTCAGAATGAATGTATTTATTGGCGTGAATGACGAGTGGTTGGCGAGGTGACCCTAACCTAGCCGACTCCCACATAGTTATATCGGTGGGTACTCTGGATCATTTGTACTCTAAGACCTGCCAAATATAGGTTAGGTTAAAATATTAAAGTAGCATGAGTGTTTATGTTTGTATGTGTTCTTGGAATATTGCGTGTGGAATATAGGTAAATAAACAATAATAACGAAAAGTAATAAACATATGGATCGCCTAGCAACCAAAGGTATACGACAGAAAATTGATGAAAAATGCAGAAAACAATACATAGAAGGCCAAGAAAAATTAAACTATAGATTAAAAATATTGAAATTTAAAAGAAAGGTTCAGCCTAAGAAAAAGATACATACAAAAACAGCATTTGACTAATGGAGGGAGGCTACGGTCGTGAGATAACGAATATGAATAAAAATTTGTTTGTTCAAATTGGGTCAACAATATAAGTCTAAATGTCTAAGCCATCTTGCCAATGAATCGATTTTATAACTTTTTTATTTATACTTGTTCACTACTTGATATTATTAATTCCTTCTGATTATGTTCACATTTCATATCATGTCTGACACTGCCTCCACGGTATCTACAATCGCGCGTGGTCCCAAGCGTAGCGATAATGCAAACGGGCGTTGTTTTATCAGCATTATTTTCTAAAAACAATAATTCCATATCGTACATATTTATTTTCAAATTCCTGCAACTCCGCATTCTGATTTCCCTCTATAAATTTATTTAGAATGATATTGAGTACTACTTCTGACAATGATGTTATCATTTGTTTAATTTCATTCTGGTATTCTCCTTCGTGAATTGACTGTACAACCTTTTATATCTAAAGTTCTTTAAATGCAAAGTTTTTATCATCATGCATATACATTTTTGTTATACCTGCTGACAGAGTTACCGTGATATTTCTATATTGATATTTGGTTATGCTTTTACAGGCATTTTTGACTGACCCCCAACTCAAATAACTCTTTATAATGGGACTGCTATTGATACACGACGGGAAAACCATACGTCAATTCCTTTGTGTGTTTTAGTCATTTAGAGAATCTGACCAAAAATCGGAAAAATTTTAGCATGACTGCGCCACAAAATACGCGGAAACGCCGAAAAATTATTACTAATCTATCGTATACACTCTGAAATTGGACTAACGGAACGCAATAAAATATGTAGTAATTATGTGTTTTATGTTAAAGTATTTGTAAATTTTTGTGCAAGTTACTATCAAATAATCAAGGCGTTTTTTCTTCTTTCAATTTTTTTTTTAACTATCTGAAAATTACCTGCTTTCAATCAATAATCTCAACAATAACCACAGTAGAAAAGTTTGGAAATTAATTTAAATCTTGGTCTTGATTCGTAGAGATCATAGAAAAGAAAGCTGGAACATGTGTATAATATTTTTTGACCTAATATAATTTTAAACGTTTTCTTCAGAGCTGAAATCATAAGTCTATAGCCTCCACCTATTAGCCAAATTGTTTTGTATTGCTACTTTTCTTACGATAATATTTGCTTTCATTGTTATATTTTTTAACAAATTGCAAAAATTGTTGTTTTTTTATTATTGTTAATTTTTTATATATTTTGTTTGCCCTAGCCATATAAAGAATCTTCACAAATACATGAAAAAATTATCAGCTTGGTATACAGCTGAAAACAATATGTATCAAAATACCAAATTGTTAACTTTTAAAAATGTTTAAATAATGTATTTTAATTCATTTCAATAATTATGCAACTAGAAAAAATGAAGTGAATTAAATAAATGTTTATTTTTAATTTTAAAATGTACACCATGAATATTTAGTTTTATTTAATTGACAAAGCCCTTATAAATTGTATGATTTGTCTGTAATGATTATTTAAAGAGTTAAGGGTTTGTTTATTAACTCAATTTTTAACATAGTAGTGGAAAAAATTAATTTTTGATAGTCATATTTTAATAAAAACAGTTTTATATACCTTCGATGCAGACATGTTTCTAAATAAGCCATTTCTATACACCAGCCATTGTTGTTTAATCACCATACAAAAAAATCACCAAATATCTACTTCTACACCGTGATATTTCAGTATAGATATTCTTTGGTCATGCTTTTACAGGCATTTTTGACTCTCCCAAACTTAAATAACTCTTTACGATGGGTATGGTATGGAATGGTAATAAGGATCCTAGGAAGCGGGTTTGTGCTCCCCCTTTATAATGGGACTCGTGTTGATACATGACGGGAAAACCATACGTAAAATCCTTATCTACTAATTTAATAGGTTTTACCTGTATTACTAGATTCCCTTATTCATCCTTATCCTTTTTAAGGTGAACTCTCAATTTTAGAGTGGGTATCTGAAATTAAAATCGATTTATAATGTTGCTGGATTTAAAAAAATACAAAACCAATGTATTCATGAAAATAAATCGATTCTATAAGCCTGCTATTTACACTTGATCACTATATTATATGATAATTAATTTTTCTGTTAATTTTCATATTTCATATCATTGTCTGACGCTGCCTCCACGATATCATACATACATTTTAAATATCTGTAAAATTGAATTTTACATTATATAGACAAACTGATTGTAAAAAAGGGAACTGCCGTCAATAATGGCAATGAGTCGGTTAGTTTTCGAATTGCACATCTTTCGCTTAAGGGCAAATTGTGGATCTTCTCGTTGCTGTCAACGAGTAGACGATTTTGACCTACAGTGCTGATAGTTCTGACTCTTCAGATTGATGAATTTTCAGGTTCAAAGTTGGAGGTCAGAAATGTTATAGCAAATCGAAATATTGTAAATAATGAATTATCACACGTGAAAAAATAAGATGCACGTAACAACATTCGTAGTTGTTATGTTGTGTTTTTCTCTTTGTGCAAATAGCAATGTAGTACTAATTTTAAATTATTTTTATTATTAATGTTAGAAGTAACGACCATTTTTTCACTCACGAACTCTCTGGATCAAGGTCTTGAAAAATAAAGCTATTTAATTCAGTTGTTAGTGCCAAGCTTTCACATTAATTTCACATTATGAAAAACAATTGTTAAATCAACTGTTCAAGAAATATGTTTTTCATAACGGATATTTCTGCTTGCTCGTTAAAAGAATCTTCTGTCATTATTCTGACACATAGTTTTTACTAACAATATTTGTTTATGCTACGTTTTAAATAGGGAATATAAATTAGACGTAAACACATTTAATCCTTAATCCAAAACAAGGATAAAGGATTTTTCAATGTTTAGCTTTTACGAAATTTAA